GCGTCGTGCGCCTGCAGGTAGACTGTGCCGCTGTACCTGTCAGCCGGCTGCTGGCGGCGCGGCGCGGCGCTGGGCAATACACGCGGACTACGAACGGCCCACTGTCATTTCAAACAAAGTCACACACGCGATGCTTTGGTAGGCTATACGGAGCTACCGAAGGTTTGCTGAGAAAGGATAGTCACTTACGCACAGCCCTCATCTGACTGCGTCGTAGGTATTCTTTTTTTTCGACAAAACCGATAATTACTCGACGGCTGTGCTATCAGTCGATCGGAACTCATTGCACAAAGACGCGCCATACTCCGCTCTTTCGATTTAGGTCTATCGTGGAATACACTCTTTCGACTTAGTTCTATCATAGAGTAAATTATACGCCTAATGTGGCAATAAAAGGTAAAAGTTTGTTTTGGGACCAAATACAAACTTTTATGTTTTGTTGCCAAACTTGGTGGAAAATGTATACCATGGTAAGTCCAGTCTTAGGTGCGGAGTCTCGCGCTCTTGGTGTTACGATTCCCGAATGACCGATAGCAAAGCATTCGCCATTCGGGTTATCCTCGACTTTGTTGAAAATAGAATACCTTCCACGCAGTGAGATGCGGGCTGTACCAACGTTGATGTAATATTATCGCTAGTCTGCTCTGATGCAACATAATGCGTGGTGAATGTGTCGATTGCAAACACATACTGAAAAGGGGCGGCAATAGTTAATCATCCTTTTATTCGCTCCATTTTCCCGATGTAAGTACCGACTCTATAGGAACTGCTACGTGATGGAACCTTCCACATTATGCATTGTCACTGGTGTTCTTCCGCCATTGCAGTGAGTGCGAAGTTTTTAACACGAATCTGTTGATGCAATAATAATTGATTACCCCATTCCCTCTGGCTCTTTGTTATCATGCATACAAACGGGGGTTTTCCGGGAAAGATTTTAGAAAAATTTATTTACCAGGAAAGACAACACGACGATTCAGTTTCTTTAAAACGCCACCTTCTCTTGCAGAGACTGCTCAAAGTTTGATCGTTTATCTGCTCAATCAAATACCAACACTCTGTCAAGTACTCGGTTTATCCCTGAAAGCTGGACCCAGAAGAAAATGAATTCAATAAGTTCCTGTATATTGCGACGAGTATTGCACTGCGAATGACTCCGACTGTTTTGGACACGCTACTTATGAATCGTCTCTGGTGTTATAAACCTGTCTCTTTATATCCGCCTGCACATCTTGTGATCATCGAGACAGGATGCATCACAGCTGTGTTGAAATTGCGTTCAAATATTTGTTCAAAGTTTCGTGGGTGGTAATTTCTAGAAAGTTTCCGCTCCTCTCCAGTGAGTCCAGGGTGTCCTTCATCCAAGGATGAAGACTGCGTAGATCGCGCTGCTCCGATCATAAAATTTCGGAGATTTACGTTATGATCTTCCAGACACCATGTCAATTATGGATTTGTTCTTCATGCTTGGAATTGAAGCTTCGAAAGCTAGGTCCGGAAACGGGACCGCGATACAATTTTTTCTTCACTTTTTAAGGAACTGCGATTATTTGAATTTATGCTTATGAAAGAATTAGTCGTATGGCTAGATTAACTATCACTTATTTCCAAATCCTCATTACCTACTTTCATGGATGTAGAAGCGCGTAAAAGGCTGGCGAAGGGTGAATTCATTTACATCCAAACCTTCAGATTGGTGAACCCGCCAGTGACATTCAGACCCGTACCCATTGACCTTTCAAAAAGTGTCGGCTCGCGTCCAGAGTGTGTCTCTATTAGTACATTTCCGACCGTTCTGTCGCCGCTGTCAGAACCGTGGCGAGCACGCGACCGGTCCAATTCATCACCACCTACGGCCTATGTGGATGGCGCGAGACCAGCCACGTGCCTTGGCAGCCGGCGCCGGCTCTGTCGGTCCGTCCGTCTCCCTCCCCCGGACCCGCCTCTCCCGTGCAGGGTCACATGGCCCAGCCTCTGCCGGCCGGGCTGTCCTGCCCTGCCCCCGTCCCCGCCCCGCCCCGCCCCCGCCTCCGCCGGCAGGCAGCGGCCCCTCAGCAGGTCACATGGCCGCCTCCCCCGATCACGTCGTATCGGACGGCTGGGCAGCGTGCCGGCCCCACTGACCCGAAATAGGTGGGTTTTGGCAGGGCGGGTGCGCAGCGCCGCCCCGGGCCTGCCGGGAGGGGGCGGTGCCGGGGGGGGGGGGCGGAGAGGACCCCGGCCGACCCCTGGGCGGCCTGCAGTGCACTAGAACGGTGCTCGGGGGTCGGATCGGCTCAGATCGGCTCTGGTCGTCATTGGAGGAGGATCGTCGTCCACTAGCAGTCGTCCACTAGCAGCCGTCAACCATGACAACAGCAAAGGTGAGTTAACGCTGTTACAGCCGCTGCCACAGCCGCTGCTGCAGGCTATCTCCGACTCGGACTTGGACCAACGCGACTTCGCCTCAGACCGGCTCTTGGTCTCCGAGTCGGGCAACATGTTCTGACCCGGGACTGCTGGCTCTGCACCAGCATTCTATGTGACAACGAGGCACCGACCCCGACTAGTGACCAGTGATAATGACTCTTGACTCTTGGGTTGACTCTGTAGTTCTGAATGTGGACGGACTGTGGCTCTTGACCAAAGACTTTGAATCGTTGACAGTGATCAAATAGCTCTGACCCTGACAATACCCAAGTGACCTGAAGTCATTTGGTGATGTGGTCCTGACTCCTGACACCGTGGTGGAGCGTCTTTATTATTAGCTGCGCGTCCTTTCTGCTAGAATTGTGGTTCTGATGGCGAAGTGTAAAACGTGTCCATGCTTCAATCTACATGCAGGCCCAAACTATGCTGGCAAAATTATGTTTCTGAAGTTAGAGTGAAGATGTTTTACTCCATATCACGTCCAGGCTTTAGGGGATTGAGATCTGCTGATGCGATTTCTGAATAAGATCCTGAATAGTTAAGCTTCCTTGCTGTCATATTGCTGCCGTAGTGCTTATAAAATGGGTTGTATTTCCTTACATAGTATGTACCTATTACACTGAAGTATGAAAGTGCTGATAATTTTCGAGGAATACTGCGCAGATGAATGGCCGTTCTAATGAATTTCGGGGAGAGCTTCGTGAATTGTTCTAAAAAGTAAGATGTTGTCTATTTTTAGTTCAAGATTATTTGATCCAATTTAAAGTTGGTAACGTTTTTTTTCGACAAGGCATTGTCCAATGCAATACTTACTGTAGGCGTAAGTATTGCGTTAGTTTCAGCGATTTATCATTTAGTAAATCAAACTGCACTCTTATAGTTAGTATGACATAGGTACTACAGAAAACACGGCTTATTATTTTTTTTTTTGCAAAAAGGTATTCCCTACGATTGCCAGTCTTTTAGCCGAACAATTGCCTTGTTGTGTTCTGGGTAAGTTGCCATCTTTATCGTCTCTGCGAGTATCATCATTTTACTATCAAAGTCTGGTAATTTTTTCAAGTCTGATTTCCGCCCCAGCCATGTGGGTACTTGCACTTGGGTCAAATGTGGTGTGATCTAGGTGCTTCAGATAGCATTGAAATGCTACTCTAGCGTTGGCTCAACTGTTGCGATTGAATGTCTAGGTCATATCGCCCACTCAAAGATGAGACGGTCACTAGAAAGCACATAATCGGGCTATGTCTGTTGCATCCATGAGTTGAGCACTCGACAACCGATGCTCAAGTGCCTTATGCAATGGTCAGCCCCATCAAGCCGTGACCGACCCCAAGGGACCATGCTACCAGCTGCCACGCCATGCCAGTGCACGTGCCTTTTGCATACGAGACTGGAGTCACGAGGGGCAAGGTCCATCTGAGCTCGTGGTCGCTGGCCGGCCGACCGGTTCCCCGGGCGCGGCCGTAGTAGCCAAATTCCACATACGACGTCACAAGTGATTCACTGATCACACACGGGGCTATGCCCTTCAGACGCGGCTATAGCGAGCCTGTTACTACCTGTGATGGTGCCAAGGTGTGGGGCAGGAGACGATCTGAGTGTGGGAGCTCTGTGATGGCCAGCGCGCATTCCTTCCTACCGGCGGGTGGGATGTCAAAGGTCGATGGGTTTATGAGATAATTTGATAAGGGTGAGATGTCTCTCTGATGTTCTCGAGTCTTCGACATGTGGCTAAGATGACTGACACAGGGCACTACCAAAACTGACCAATTCCCTGACCAATGGACCAATATTTCGCCGTCAGCAATGAACCCGGACGAGCATCCTACGTCGCAGTCCGCATTGGGTCCATGACCTTGCAGGAAGCGGGCAGGATAAATGGATGCACTCATTGCAGCAATGGGTCAGACGGCATCCCATCCGCTGTCCAACAGACAGACCGTTCCATGGCCGACCCCGCCGCTCGGTATGAACCGACACTGCGTAGTTGTCTGTTGAGTGACGGAAGTAACTAACTCGATTGTAGAGGTCATAACCTGCTCTGATACCGATATCCGCTCCCGAGGACGGTCTCTTCTGAGCTGTCATCCCTAGTCTGGTGAGACCATATTAATAATTATGCTGATTGCATTCCAACACATGTAGGTGCGGTCTTTCTAAATGCATGCAATGACCTTTGTAATTCCCTGCCCATGTGACTTTGGCCTCCGTTCCAGTGCAAGCTCCTTGAAACATCATTTCCTATTCAGCATGGATTGAACTTCGCACTTCATTATACTTTCTGATTTATTAGGCTCCAATAGCATTGGCAGGTGGTGCATGTGGTTTTCCATCGTGCATATTTCAATAAGTAAACAGCGATTAAAGAAACAAACTTCGTGGAGCTCCCCACCCGTCAATATAACGTGGCGGAACGCGACTTCTCCACATGTCGGCTATCATTGAAGAGCTCTGGGGCAGTGGGTCGACACTTGTACCCATCATCAACACCACCTGTGAGAAGATCTTACCGGCGCCGGCCGCCGCCGCCGCCGCCCCCGCCCCCGCCCCGCCATCGATTGCCGCCGCTACCGACGCACGCCGCCACCGCCGTCGACGGCTGCGAAGAGTTCGCGATCAATGGCAGAACCGCTACGTCGGCCGGCAGTCGAGTGGCGACGGCGACGACCTGCGGACGCCTCCCTTGGGTGACCTGGACCAGGACACCTCCACGACTCAACCGGAACCCACCCAAACGGCGTGCGAAGCATGGCCACCCAGGAGGCACCGATGGCGGAGAAGGAGGACCTGGATCTGAATGGTGTGAAGCTGGAGGAACGGCCCATCACCGGGGCCGGCGCCGTCCTGCGCAAGACCGAGGTAGGACACTGGCTGTAGTGATCACTACCCGGCGAGTGTGGTGAGGTAACGGGTCGCACGACGGTAGATATCGATTGAACGGTTCTGGGACAGTAGTGTGACAAATGTGAATGCTTGTTATGCGCTGCGAGGGCGGTGCGTGCTTTTCAATGACTATTGCTTGCTTTTTTGACCAATATGATGCAGTAGATTTCGATGAATGTTTTGATGAGGACGAAAATGTTAATACTGGTACAATTTAGATCGATGGCAATTAGTGGCTCAACAAACAAGGACTGGTTTTGGAAAATAGGCGGGGAGTCCACGCGTCAGTAAATCTAAAATGATTAAAAACCAATTATAAACTCGTGAAAGTAACTTCGCTCGTCAGCTCTGGTCTTTCTTTTAGACCACGTCTACTGAGGCGAGCAACTTAACTTGCCCTCTTATTTTTTTGTCATTTCAGCTTCTGTAGTGATTCTTTGCAAACCGTACCTCCATGACCTAACATAAATGAATCTCGCCAATCACCATGAACAGGCACAATTAGGTAATCCAAATGGGCGCGTGTCTTCCCACCTCTCCTCTTTCCGCCCTCGAGGCTCGTCCCTATCTAAAACCAACACCTTCAGGTGGGGTGCCCGCACACGGCGCGTCCCTGAATGTTCGAACCTTCCCCTGTCGCCGTTACGTCCGTCACGCGGCCGTTGCATGCTGCTGTCGGGTGGTCCGACCCCTGACCGGTGTCTCTCCATGACTGTTGATCGGCCTCTCGACCCGGGGCGGCGGGGGGGGGGGGGGGGGGTCGTTCGGACGCATATCGGCCACTCTCGAGTGGGGGACGCTCTTGGTGAGGGTGGACCGCTAGCGGTGTTCAGTAGTGCGGTCAGCTTCTCTGCCGGTGGCGGTTAGCTCGACTGTTGACAGGTCACCGAGCGTCTTCCAAAATGGGCTGCTGCCAGTTACCTGAGGTAGGAGCGCTGCTAGTAAAGGGATTTTTCAGTGATTGTGGTGTGTAATACTGGAATTGTTGTATATTTGTGAAATTTTGTGGGCTTTGATCCCGTAACATTTGTGTATGCCTATAGCGTTTGGACAAGTACCTCCTTAGGACCCACCTATATTATATTCAACTTCTACATCTTTTTGCTCTCAAATAAAAAGGGTCACATTGAATATATCACAATCAAATTTTAAAAAATGATACCAAAGAAAAAAAGACATCCAAATTAAAACAGTTCACATTCAAATTTAAGAAAATACCACATGGATATCACATCTTGTGATAAATTTCCCCACGAATAGTCGGACAGAAAGAGCGAATTTCCACCATGCACTGGAGGTCTTTACGAGTCTTCTCATTCACAAAAAAAGATACCTACAAGATAAAACATTTTTCTTGATTATACCTATAACCACCATCTCTACGTGGATCTAAATTTACATCAGGGTGCACCACATATTGATGGATTTTAGATTAATCCATCATAACAGATGTTTGTGTGCCTTTTGCGGCATTTTGTTGCGATTCAGTCGTGAGCTCGTTGAATGAAGGCTTTTAGGCACTTGTAAATCCGAATGAAGGGAAACGATTGAAGCTTTAATGAAAGCAATGGGAATTGGTTACCAAAGGCGACTCGACTCTCAACTGTTGCAAATGCGACCTTTTATGTATAGAACGTCTGAATGGTTTGACTCAAAATAACTGCTGTTTGTTCGAAAAGTGTACCTATTTGTGAAGGGCCAGGTCTCCAATAATTCGCAGAGTAACAAGCCTTTTTAGCCCTTTATTGAGTTTCGCTGCTTGCTTACCGCTTTTTAGGTACTTCTTTATCTGGACTGGAAATTGATCGAAATGGTTTGGTGAGGCCAGCTAAGTTCAGCTTTAAGCCTGCACAAAGTTCCTTTTGCTGAATAAATGTACCTATTAGAAAACCTTGAAATCCAGCATTAAAATTATCAAAATAGCGATGTTAAAACTATGCTTCTTACTTTCCTCCCTTTTGCTTGTCGGGTAACAATAATTTTGAAAACAGATTATTTTAAACCAAATAATTCGCTTTATTGGCTGGGGTAGGTCACTGCGAGAAAGACCATTCAATAAAGTCGACGCATTTGTTTGTAACCGCTTCTTGATACAAGTGTTTCCCAAAAAGGCAAAAAGACAAAGAAAATCATTTAACCTGGGGATTATAGGTGACAATAATGGGCAATGATTTCCATTAAAGCTGTAACATAGGAAATTTCTAATGCAAATTTCTGAAAGAATAGTGAGGACTATCATGAGAAAAGCGTGATCTTGTTTAACTTTATGTGACTTTTAGTTGTTCAAAATGCAGTACGTACATACACTTGGAGATACAGTCCGGCTCAAATTTAACCGCCGTGTGAATAACTTCATCTGAGCAGCAATTATTAAATAGATGTTCTTTTATTTTTTAATGTTTTATCGATGTCGCCAAAAAAATAACGTTTCATGATTCTAGTAGCGGTAGGCCTCCACTTGCATTTTGGTCTGGCCTGTCCTTCGCACCGTCCCTGACCCATGTTATAGATGACGCAATGATCCGCCAAGCAGTGCACAAGAAAAGCAATCAGAGTCATTTGCAGTGACACGAAGATAAGCATGTCGGAGCGCTCCCACCGGGATGGATGGCCATCAACATTCAAACAATGAAACGTCCTGCACGAACCGCAGACTCTCCAAGGACAGCTAGCTAGCTGGCTATCTCTTCGGCGTGACATGACAAGTGCGTGCGGGGATTATCTCAAATTGACGAGAACTAACATATCGATGGACAACTATAACCTTGACTCAGTTGACTGATGTACTTTTAGTGATATCAACTCAAGAGTCTTTGATAATATGCCGGCGTATCCTGAAGCCTGAGTTCAAGTTCGATCGTTACATGGCACACGCCTGAAGCATTGCGCTACCATTTAGTCCTCTTCAAGATGGCATTTTGTTGGATTTACTACGACGTTCAGAGACCGGCTAGGATCACTAATGGCTTTGCAGTCCTTGTTGGCAGCTTATGTAGCATGTGTGCCGACGATAATGCTGATACAACGTTCAAACAAGCTGGCCGCCGCTGTTTACATGTCAGATACCTAAAGTATGGCAATGCACGCAACACTGTGCGAAAATAGTCATGTAGTGGAAACTGGGCCAACAACACGTTTTTTTTTTTTGCTAGGTCATAAGATAAGTTATATTCGAAGGGTAATAATCACCACCTCAAAGCAAGTTTCTGCCATTTTTTAAAATAGTTTTTTGCATATCTACAGTGTTCTACTCAATGACATTGGTCTGTTCTGCCCATGCCATTTCATAATTTTGTCAGTGTGCTCGGTGAAGCAATTTAAACTACTCTCGAGATACATAGAAGTTTTCCGAGGCATTGCTAAATTTCATGTCTGAGTTTTGGGAGTCGTCCGCTGCAGGCCCCGGCAGTGACCATGCACACATGGGCGGGGGACCAGGCCCTGCGCCCGAGATGCGCCTCGCCCTTTCTCGCGGTGTTTGGTGCGAATATAAACAGTCGTTCTGCACAGTTGAGACTTTAGACCACCTCCGCCCAGCTGGAACGGCAGTTTCGCAGGCTATGGAAATTCTGACATTGCATTCGTATGTTAGCTTTGCCTTTGCGGCTTTTAGGTGGCCCTAAATTAAATATTTGACCGACTTTCTTCACATCTTCTATCTCGCTATGAAGTATTAACAAGTTATGTTTTTCTTACCGTAACTAACTGTGGCTTCAATAACGGCTACTTCTGTTTGCCCATGGCCATGAGCCATATCTAATTGCACCCCTATATGGGCCAGCTGTTGCATCCATCATCTTACGCTAGGTGTCTGAGCACTGCTTGGTGCTCATTGCTGCTACAACATTCTTACGTCAGGAAGATGCCTGCAATTGCATATATCACCCATCCTCGATATTTGCGTTTTTATCTTTGCTTCTGTAATTTTGTCCATTTTTTGTAGCCCTTGCATGTAATTTTCACACACTTTTAATATAATTCCATCTAATTGTTGCAATTTTTACTCATTTAGTTTCCGGTCAATTCGGCTTTCCTAATAAGCCCCGCTCCCAAGTTTGTTCCAGACTACCGCATAAAGATATCCCAATCATCTTATCAATCGATATCTCGCGATTCGCCGAACGTTCTCTCTCCCCTCCCTCCCCCTTGCTGACTTCAGCCGAGGGGACGCGGAAGGGCCCCGCCCCTCAGTCGACCAATAGGAGGCCGACCCGACCGGCCCGACCTTGTGTGTCACGATGGGACCCCCCCCCCCCCCGCCCGCTCTAGTAATCAGACACTCCCTCAGGCTAGCTTGGTCGGCCGAAGGGGCGGTCTGGAATGATGGCATCCCAAGGTATTAAGATGTCGTCACTCGTGACTCCGGAGGCTGGGCATCTGATGTCACCCTTCTCCTCGGTTTACGACGCAATAGGGGGTCTTCCCGAATCAAGAAGTGATGGATTTGCTGATATTAGGAGGATTTGCATGTTTGCCGACCCTTCTTGTTTTCTAACAATAGATCTGTCTGGGAATAACCCGGTGATCTCAGGTCCAGTAGTGATTGGTTAGTAGTTGGTCATCAATTTGACGGCTTGCCATAACCGAAGGTTGTGTTAAAAAATTTCAACTTTTCGTTAGAAATGTGTTTTTATTGAACAACAAACCTGAGTCCCCGGACAATTTCGCAGAAGCTGCCTGAAATAAAATACGGTTACTATGCGAACTCCCGTTACTTGTAAAGCGAGCCCCGCCAGCTGCCCGATCCCTGGAAGCGGCCGATGGCGAGGTCGGCCTCCTAACTGCCTACCCCCGGCGGCGGCGGCGGCGGCGGCGGTGGCGGCGACTGGGGCGAAGGCCGCGCCTCCTCTGGGGGCGTGTCGGCGCCGGTCCGGCCCGGTCCGGCCCGCTCTCGGCTGGCGGGAGCTCTCACTCCGTGCCGGTCCGTCCCTGGAAATCCACCGCCGCCTCCGCCTCCTCCCGCCGCCGCCGCCGCCGCTACTGCCATGACGTACCAGGTCATAGTAAGTTTTGAAGGAGTTTGGGGATATCGAAGATACCTTCACACTTCTTCAGAAGTGGGCGTGCAGAGTGAGTTGTTTACTAAATATCTGGGGCCATGGTTTGTCAGGACATTTATTTTCTCTGTCCGCTCGGGCTCTGGAAGGGTATACTCATGCTTAGAAGGCTGACGATCTCAGTCGTACGTTGCATCCTGGCGTGGCCCGTCTCCTGTTACTATGAACGGGCCACGTCATGGTCAGAGTCTGGGAACGAGCTCAGGGGGTGTGTCTGGCGTCCGGCGCGTTTGCGCTGACGCCTCCGTTGCACCAGCCTCCTCCGGTCGGGGAGGGGAGGATGGAGTCGGGACGGGGCTGGGTTCTCAGAGATAAACAGAAGGTAGTCTTCCGGCCCTGGGATGAGCTGATGTCGGGTATCAAATGTCGGGTCATGACCTCGGGCCAGAGCCCAAAGCACGCCGCTGTTTACAGAGTGCATAGCAAGAGCAGCAAGTAGGGTAATAGGCAAGTTCAGCTGCGTACTTATCAAGGATGTGAGGCATTAGTGTTTGTGGAATCGTTTATTGGTCATGCTCAGTTGTCAATTATACATGTTCCTATATAGTTTTATAGTTTGCACCCTTTCTTTAAGATTCTGTAAAGTGTAAATATCCCCATTTGTTCTTAAAAGCCAAACTATTTAAATCCCAAAATCTTAATAACTAAGAAAAACTTGTGTGATTTTCTATGGCAAGCTGCTTGTATTAGACCTGAAAAAGTTATGAAAACTTGCCTCTTCAGCAAGTTCACCTAGTATGACTTATAACAGTCATACATGCAGCAGATACAAATTAATTAATTGGTTAGACTTATGAGTAATGACACAGTGTTCAATTGATGCTTGCACTGGGTTAGCGTTTACCATACCATAATAATCGACTCGTTATCATTCCTCATTGATTGCTATTCCGAGCGGAACTGGAGTCGTGCAAAACACGAGTTATCTAGCCTCAGCAAAGAGGGGCCAATCTATGGAATGATGATAGGGTTCCACTTGGGTTCCACGTACAATTTGTGGTGACTTTCTAATGTGAGCATGCATAGCTAGGCGTCCCAGTGAAGCTTTATCTTCATGTATTTGTGGTATTTGTGACATGTTGCTTTCATAATATTGTAGTGGAAACATACGACAGAAAAAGCACGTGATTTTATTTTCGTTAACAGATATGAGAAATTGGGAACAATCTCAAACATAAATAAGTAAAACTCTTTCACATATTTACAAAATCATTAAGGCGTAGCTGAATACATTATCAGTATAGACACCTGTATTTGTAGCGCCTAAAATTCATATCAAACTGAGAAGCAAGCTCATAAACCTTGAGGGTTTTTAACTATGTGATTTGACTTTTGGAAGCACTTATGCTCTGCTAGTAATTAATTAGTTAATTGTATACTTTACTCACTGGAGGAAGTAGAAGATCTGCAATGGGGTCAAGCGCCCCAACAAGATCGTCGAAAGTCGGTGAGTTTGCTGTCAAATCTCGGTCAATATTGTCAAAAACATTTTAGAACATGGCACTATAGGAAATAGACGCTTGTGTAAATGGCAAAAAAAGACAGCAAAAAATGACATAGCCAGTCTTGTACGCTCAGAGCACATCATAACATTACGATACAAAATCAAATACCGTGCCGTTTATTTATTCCTTTCATGCCGTAGTCAATATCAAAGGCAGCAAAAACAAACAGTTCCGCCTTTTTTCGAAATACTTGTCACGGGATTCTGTTCTCACTTATCCGAATACCGTCTCTTGGCTGCATGCCCGTCTCCATGGTGACCAATATCCTAATAAGTTGTGTTTTTACAGAGGGCACGTGAGATGTCACAAAACGCTGACAGGTCACCTGACTCTGAGACGACGCATTGTGGGTTTTTCCACGACCTTATCTGGTCTGTCCGACCTTTCTGACAAGAGTCGGGCCGTTTGATCGTCTGGCAACTATCCAATTTTGACAGACAGCAGACAAGACACAGACAGATGGACGTTTTAATTTTACCCCTAATTGAGACCGTATATCTGCTTTTATGGGGATAACAAATAAAAAGTAAACGTAGTTATGAATGCGTAGTACAGTGTAACTGATGTCGGAAAGTTACGTCGGAAACTTACGCCTTTCTCTTTTGCAGGGGTTCACTCTACGCCTGTGTTTGGCCATTGTGGCCACTGTGTTCGGTTCAGCCTTCCAACATGGCTACAACACCGGAGTCGTCAACTCGCCGAAAACGGTAAGTCGGGTGACAACGTGGACCTCTTCCCATGCACGTGTGGGTGCTACTTTTTTGGACATGCAGTTATAGATGACAATACAAAATAATATGCACAATGTTCCACTCTCCAAAGCATGCTTCGTATCCAACATTTCTCAGTTTTACTTGACTCATTTAAATCTTCTTTTTAGACCACCGTCTGTGATCCATTTCCCATCTTGTAAGTTTATCTGTGAACACACATAATTGTTCCGATGACAAGTGACAATCCATGTCCACCCAGAAGTGACATGTGCTGTCGAAATACAAGAGCCGACCCGCCACTGACGCGTCACAAACGTCCAGTATAGCATCCAGGGCCGTCCGTGTATAAACAGAGCGGCGTGCCACGGCCGGGTATCCGTTACTCCGCTCGTGCCGACCGGTCACGTGCCGGGCTTCTCGGGGGGGGGGGGGGGGGCGAGGAGTTTGAGATAGGAACGGGTCAGGATGTTTACGGTTTTTATTCAGGGACACTGGAAAATTACTGTGAACATTCCAGTACTGCGATTAAGTCAGAAATACGCAAATGGCATCTTAGCTCTGTTAAATGACCTTTAGGTCAGGAGGTCTTTTTACTGCGTGTTTTATTTAAGTTCTTGTGTTGGTGTGACTTGCGAGTTATGACCGGTAGGTAACTAAGAACAAATTTCTTTCAAATCAATTCTTCCTTCAATGGTCCTGTCAACGCGTGTGTTGCTTTATTAGCTTTAGGTACCTACTGCTTTATTGGTAGCTTCTTTTAGCTACGAAGATTATGTGCTATAGTATGCAGCTTTTATGAACCGAACTTAATTTGGTAGCTCCAAACAAATTTGCTCATTGCTGTACGGAAAAAGTATTTTGATGATTATGGCTCACCAAACCTGTTGGTAATTAAATTACAAGACTACTTTCTCCTACGCTGTCGACAAATCTTTGTAATTGTGATTATGGCATCAAAATAACCTTAACGCTTTCTACTGCCCTCGTCCGTTCGTTCGCCGAACTGGCTCTAGCCAATTTTCACCCGAGAAAATAGCCAGTTTGGCACACTATGATCACACCCCAGCGTAACACACTTTGACGTCTAAATTACCGAAGACTCGGGACTGGCTATTCTACCCGCATCTATCAGACTTGTGTCCTTGATTGGAGGTCAAGTGGTCAATTCGAGTGGCGCCTAATGCCCATCACATAGTGCGGTGATCGGATCAGGCCCAGACATACACCGTGTGCAAGAAAAGTAACACATTTAAATGTGTAGACACCAAACCGAGGTCCACTTACGCCTGTGAAAAGATGCTAAATGATTTGCGGATAACTATTGTAAAAAGAGCAGTGGCGCTCACTTTTAGTGTTTTTCTAAGGGCTAACTGCCTCGAACCTTCGTGTATTTTCTTTTTATCCGTGCTTATTTGAGGTTGATAATTCGAGCTCAAATCTAGTGCATAACGACCAATCCGCCATGAACGCCTTGGTCGTTCATCTACAGATCGTACAGATCGACGCGATTTCGTCGCTCTGACCGTCAGCTCACATGCAGAGCTAACCTTAACATTGATTTCTCTGCACTAGCGCCGGAGGCATATGGACGCCTGTTGGTCCCTGCGGACCAAACTATTGGCCCGATACGCCGGTAGCGAGCGACCGTCAAACGTCCGTTTGCCGTCGTAAGGTCGCCCTGCCGCTGGCTGTCGACCGCTCAGTGAATGCTAGAGTCGAGCAGAAGTGGATCGGTTGCCGTTCCCGCTGTATAAAGTGAGGCACTCCTTTCTGCTGCTGCAAAAACGGCGCTGCTATTGCGTTGACCCAAAACCAAAGCAGAGTGTTGCCATGGTCGCTTTCGGTCGGTTATGTAATGCGAGGTCAAAGTCTACACCAAGCAATTACGAGACTGACAAAAACTATGAACTTCTGAGATTCCATCCTTTCAAGTCCCGAGATAACTCTTCGGACAAAAAAAGTTGAACTGCTGGTCGGCGGGGACCTTCTTACCCCGCGGGAAGATTCAGGACCGGTCTGGTAGGAAGTGTAACCCAGGACGCATCTCAGCGTAGATCTCAGCCGACTTTGTTTTAAATTTTTCCTGTTGCTGATATAGGTAGATAGGTAGTCATGTACTCGTCCAGAGCTTTTCTCTGTCTTAGCGGCCCTCACATCGCCTTGATGGCTCGCCAAAAGGTGCGGCCACGCGCGCTATATTTACCCAGCTCTCGGCGGCCGCCCCCGTCATCACCACTCACCAGCGATGTGACGGTCGCCGCGTCGGAGTCGACGTTTCGCCACGTCGGAGTCGACGAAACGATGACATTCCGACCAACTGTCTATTTTTCGGCGCTGGCGACCCTGATGCGTCTGCGAGAGCTCAAATCGTTTGGCATGAGACCACAGACGTTTTCATGGCCACCTCTGTGACAGGTGGTGTGAGAAATGGAATCCATGGTCACTAAGACTAACGCTTACAGCGAAATTTATTGTAAAGAAACTTAAATCAACACGGCGAACCTTATCTAGACGCATTCAGCTATCGCCATACTGATTTATTCTTTTTCATCTCTGGGAATAGGAGCGAAGCTTCAGAGGTCGGAGCGTGTCTCGAGATGGTCGTTTCTGCCCACTGTTAATTTGGCACTCCGCCCGTCGCCGTCGTCGGTGGCAGCCCAGTCTGGTGACGTCACACGGTCAGTGACGTCACGACATCGCGTGATCAGGCGATAGAATTTATTAGTAAAATAATTTTTATACTATCAGGCAGCCGATGGCTAAAGAGAAGTAAGGCGGATAAGACTCAGATGGGTATGTTTTGATGACGCCAGATTACTTTGTGCCGTTAGGTATTACAAACAGTTTCCTCACGGTTGATGTAAGCAACTCGTAATGTGCAACGCATTGCGATGTGGGTACCTCACATGTAGCTGATACCAGTCCTATCGCACCAACGATCAGTTCACCACCGAAGAATCGTGGAACGGATACCGGTACATCTGGCACAGCCCTAACAGTAAATGCGCATTCAACAGGCCTTCCCCTGTCGCGGCGTCCCTCCTCAAGATGACCGTTTGGCGTGCCTCGGGTCCACGCTGTCCTTGACACGAGTTCCGCTCCCCGGCGCGGCAATCTGTCCCGCGTGTCAGACTGAAGAGGGCTGGACGCCAGCCAGCCAGCGCTTATGTAACGGACGCCAGAGGACGTCCACTAAATCGCCAAAAATATTATCAGTTATTAAAAAGATGCATTCCGACCTAGTCCGAGCTATTCTGTAGCAGTCGAGCTTACTGAAAGAATTGAAATTTAATCGGGATGCCTCCTTGCCAAGACGCCCGTATTATACGAGCATTGGCAGGATTTCCCTGTCCGCAACTTAAATTTTGTTAGTTTTTTTATAAGAAATTTCATAAGAATACGCTAGCTCTTTTCTTCTCAAGCGCATGGGTGGTGGGTACCTATTCGCCTACTCTATTTTGCGACAGTCTTGTACAAACCCTCAACTCGAAAAATATTCAGCCTCGAAATAAGATGGCCTGCACATATGCGGAAAACGACTACATCGTATCAGTTTCAATGACGGCCTTCTGCAACTTCTCTTATCTGACACATGGCTGCCAGGCCCATCACATCGTTATATAACAGCCCGCGCGGCACATTGCTCGCATTTGGAGCACTCACGCAGCCAGAGTGCCGAGTGGCCAATCGTGCAGAGGTCAGCACTCAGGCGTGTCTCGGGGGCGAGGTCACGCCCCTGACTCCGCCCAGTCACGTGTGGGGGCGTGGTGGACTGCAGAACTGTCCTATATCCGAGTGCGCAACGCTGCAACGTTGCAAAGTCATGGACTGTTTGGAGGACGGTCTGCAGTTCTGCAGACATGAGTGACTGTGGGCCATAATTACCAGACTCGTTAAGGGTAGAGTGGAGAAGAGAGGGAAGTGGGGCTTGATGAGGACGGTGGTAGTTCTACTTCCAGCGAGTGGGGCCCGGTGGGCTGGGTCAGGTAGGGTGGTGGGCGCCAGCAACTCAGTTTTAACTTAGTTTATTGTAAGGACTGTGCTCCAGTATGTTACTGAGGAGTCGAATCCGGCTGCCAGAAATAAATTTCGTATGTCTCGTCTCCCTGTCAGTGCTCTTTGACACCGGCTGACCCTGGGTCCTGTTGATCTTGGCGAAGGCTATCCATCAATGCGACAGACGGCTACACTGATTTGACATTTGCCGTTCAATCATGCTGGCCCGCCCCTATTGAACTAGCCGTTGGAAGGGCGGCCTGGTGGGTCGACCCATGACCGGTCGATGCTCCATTGGCCCGGTCGATGACTGGCTGTGTGATGGCTATCGACCACTCGACTAAGGAGGCTGTTGTCCTCACGAACCGGCGATAACCGCCAATCAGGACACCACCGGAAACGTGCCACGTCATCAGCTCGGGCGAGATGCCGTCCACTCCTCAGAGATAAATGGAAGAAATGCCGAGATTTATCTGTTTGTGGAGACGGACATTTCGCTATTTTGTCACCGATTATGTAGTTCAAATATTAGTTAAACAGAGCTGTTGACAAGTCTCACGGTACGGAGAAGGGGATTACGTGGCTATTTGAAGTTCCTGCTTAAATTGCCAGATCACGGCGCTTATCCCACTTCGCTTCTACTCATAATGTCCAAAACATGTGGGACACAAAGTGACTAAATGTTTGGCAAAATAATGTTGCAAAGCACAGTTTTGTAAGTTTGATATGCATGTCAAATTTCCCAAATTTCGAGTCATTGTCGCGTCTGACATCCTCCCAGTGGCTCCGCCAGTCCGGATGTTCCACTTTCTCAAATTTTCCACCGGATGATCCCGCCATAATGGCCAATGTATTCCGTCGGGTCAATCACCGACCACCGATCAGGGGGCCCGCGGCACCGTCTCCGTCGCCGCTGAGGACCACCGTCCAAATCCGAGCCGCGAGCCATGCCTCACTGTCTCACGGCACGTGACACGGAGGCACGTGACTGGCGCCGC